TCATATCATTAAAAAAGGAAATAAAAGATAAAATATAATATTGATGTCATTTTTACGACCATGACAAAATTACATTTTCATTTTTAAAGCTTTTTATTGGTTTTTCAACATCAAATGGACACGTTTGGTTTCTTCAAGTCACCCAACTCGTTCTGGGAATTCTCCAGATGCTGGAAGCTGCAGAGACCCCACAGGGTCAATAACAATAACAGGTCTCCTCAGTCTTTGGTATTTTCCCATCATCTCAGTTGTATGACATTTCCTGCCACATGAATGGTAAATGGACTGGTTCTTATATTGCGCTTTTCTACTCTGTCTTTATATAACTAATCCATTCACTCAATCACACGGGCACTTCTTCTAAGTTCAAGTGCTGAGTATCTAACATTCATACACATTCACATTCAGAGCAACATGGGGTCAGTATCTTGCCCAATCAACCACTGACCTTCTCGTTAGTGGCTGATCTGCCACCTGACCTACAGCCACCCCTGACAGATAAATGAGCTCAGTGTGCATTCAGTATAGCTCGGGCTACAGGTTGCTGTTTATCCATAATATGGTCATCTCGTGCACAGAAGCTCCACCCACTTGATGTTTAAACCCTCTTTTTGTCAGGAGCAGCCAATCAGAGGACAGTGGTCTTTAAGAGGGAGGAGCTAAAACAGCATGTTCTCGACAGAGAATGAACTGAGGGGGTTCACCGCGTGTCCGATAAAGAAGGATTATTTTGAACCGCCAATCATGCAAAGCTGCTTTCTGGAGCTGACTATGACTGCTGTGATTTTTTCCTTCATGGCATCATTCCTTTGCTCTCTCTCCTTTCTCTCCCTCCAGCAGATTTGTCCCAGGACCACGATGCAATGTTTTGCTTCTGAGATTATTGTCCTCATGCGTGAGTGGCAGCTCGAGGCCAAGTGGAAGAAATTGAATAGATTGCTGACTAGACTGGCGTCCATGACAAACCAGGTATGAGAAACAGCTAAAAGAGGAACTCACATTACTTCTAATGTAAGAGTTGTTTTAAACTGTGCATTAAAACTGAGGCCCTGATCATCCTGCAGGGAGAGTTTGGTTAGCATTGCTGCCTTTGAAGGAAATTTTATGGAAAGACTTGAGATGTAGGGTGTTGGGTTTGGTGGTCTGATGGCTTCATCAAACAATGACCTCCAGCTCCGATTGTGGAAGTTTGCATTACGTATGAGACGAGAAGTAGCACGTCCAAGTCTGAGACCATAGTTGTAGTGCCAACTCCAGGTCAGAGCCACGTTTAAGTACCTCTGGGGTCATTTAGGAGGGACAGAGAGAGCCAGTAATCTGAGTGTGTCAGTGGCCTATGAGGAGGCTGTGGTGGAGTCCCATAGTGCAACAAAGAGGGGCGCGACAAAGTTGTGGTCTGGAAAGACTAAAAACAATTAGACAGGTTGGTGTTACAATCAACATCTGCTGCAGTGGGGAATCCATGACCCCAACACGACAGGCCCGGAGGAGAGCCAGGATACCGCCGAGTGATGAGCTCTCACAGCTGGCTTGGAAATACCTCAGGGTTGCCCCGGACGATTTAGGAGGTGGCTGAGGAGAGGCATGTGGCAGAGAATGAGGGTGAGGAGTTAAAAATATCTAATTGATGAGATGACTGTTATAAGATCAGGAGCTGCTCAGGTTCTGGCCATACAGAGCTGTTTCCTGTGTAATCAAAGCCAACACTGCTGGTGAGAAGAGACCAGTAAACAGACACCGAAGGAAGGACTGATGAAGTAATACTGTGGTCGTTTATTAAGTAGACCAACTATGACTAAAGCCATTTGTTAAAACGAGCTCCTGTTTGGGAATGGAAAACTTTATGAAACTCAGTGGAACAGATGAGATATTTTCTTGGCGTGTGCTTTTGACCTTCTCATGTCTCTCATTAATGTCACGGCGAGCTCAGAGCTTGTCTGGACTTTAGGAGGGTTTAGCTGCTGTGACTGGGTTTCCTGCACGAGAGCAAAACTGAGAATCACAAACCTGGAACATATCCCGACAGATGACCTTCTGCCTGTTTTCAAAGAAAGATTGGGAACAGCCTGGATCAGCTGATATGCCAGAGCTGCTGCTCTTTCCCAAAAAAGGACCTGACGAGAACAAGGACATAGAAC